ATTAAGTTCATGAAAGTTAAGTTCAATTTCACTAAGTTCATGAAAGATAAGTTCAATTTCATTAAGTTCATGAAAGATAAGTTCCATTTCATTAAGTTCATGAAAGTTAAGTTCAATTTCATTAAGTTCATGAAATATAAGTTCAATTTCATTAAGTTCATGAAAGTTTCCACTACCTAAATTTATCCTGTACTCAGATCTTTCTTTTGTTCTGTCACTGTACCAGCTTTTGATTATAATAGAAGATTATGTAGATGATGAATGAAATGCTTGAACAAGCTGGTATGTTGCTCTTACACCACTTCTGTGTAGATGATGAATGAAATGCTTGAACAAGCTGGTATGTTGCTCTTACACCACTTCTGTGCCAAACGTTATAGATGATGAATGAAATGCTTGAACAAGCTGGTATGTTGCTGGTATGTTGCTGGTATGTTGCTGGTATGTTGGTATGTTGCTGGTATGTTGCTGGTATGTTGCTGGTATGTTGCTCTTACACCACTTCTGCGCCAAACGTTATAGATGATGAATGAAATGCTTGAACAAGCTGGTATGTTGCTCTTACACCACTACTGTGCCAAACGTTATAGATGATGAATGAAATGCTTGAACAAGCTGGTATGTTGCTCTTACACCACTTCTGTGCCAAACGTTATAGATGATGAATGAAATGCTTGAACAAGCTGGTATGTTGCTCTTACACCACTTCTGTGCCAAACGTTATAGATGATGAATGAAATGCTTGAACAAGCTGGTATGTTGCTCTTACACCACTTCTGTGCCAAACGTTATAGATGATGAATGAAATGCTTGAACAAGCTGGTATGTTGCTCTTACACCACTTCTGTGCCAAACGTTATAGATGATGAATGAAATGCTTGAACAAGCTGGTATGTTGCTGGTATGTTGCTGGTATGTTGCTGGTATGTTGCTCTTACACCACTTCTGCGCCAAACGTTGACAGTGAAAAAGAGAATAATAAATTCAGGAAAAATAGCACTGTCTCATCAGGTCGTCAAAATGAGAGACAAATAGATCTTAAGGCTGAGCGTGAGTTTGAGACGAATTTAGCTTTCATTTTAGACTTCACGTCTCCCGAAATAAAACTGCGAACAAAGTGAAACAAGGAACTAAGTAAACTGTAAAACCAAATTTTCGTCACGCATTGGACTTTATCAAGGTTACACTGAAAGGTGAGGTTTGATCTCTGGACCAGAGAGACGGAAACTATCAGATAAGATGAATCGAGGATATTTACCTGTTCATTGTGAAAGTTGCACACCGAATAGGGCATTTCACTGCACTACGATACGTTTATTTGCTGATCTAAAAAGTGTCATATTAATTAATCTACTGCGAAACCCCCTTCTCAGCTGGTAGCACTGTGCACTGTGCATTGTGTTTTGTGCACTGTGCACTGTGCATTGTACACTGTGCACTGTGCATTGTGCATTGTGTTTTGTGCACTGTGCACTGTGCATTGTGCACTGTGCATTGTGCAATGCGTCGTCTTAACTCCTCCCCAACTACCCAACCTCTTTTTACCTGGTAACCGTTACAAACAACTCACTGTGGAACTATTTGTGGAATGCATGGCTCAAACTACATTTGTATGATGTCGAATGTGTACCGACATTCTACCTTCCAACAAACCTTTATAAGGTATAAAAGCTATTGAAAATACGTTAAACTTAAACATAAAAATGTGCAGTCACACCAACCAACCAATTTACCATGGTAACGGTTAATTTGACCTGGCGTGGGCGTGAGAAGTCCCTGAGGGAAGATGGGAATAATTCTTACTATTATCTATAAATAGAGATATTATGGAAGGACAAAATGACTATATAATATTATATATCTGTTGCCATTTTACTGACACCACGATATCAACTTTAGCACGATTTTCCGTGAAAATCGTGAGAGATATACATACTATTATTATATATATAATGGCTATAATTGATTTAAACTCCACACAAAATAATGTTGCAAAACGAATATGTTAAACGATATAACTTATGATGATAGGGGGCACGGCAAGTTTCCATAAACGATATTTTATGATCGGCGCTCAATAAGCGATTATCGGCGCCGATCATAAAATATCGTTTATGGAAACTTGCCGGGGGCACACCCTGAGGAAAAGGTAAATATTTGTAAGTATTGGATAAAATTGCTATTTTAACTTTTAAGACTGAAAATTGTAGTTTTTAAAAGAGCTTTTTACTCTCAGCTCGGTACATTAACGACAAATTGTAGTTTTTAAAAGAGCTTTTTACTCTCAGCTCGGTACATTAAGACTGAAAATTGTAGTTTTTAAAAGAGCTTTTTACTCTCAGCTCGGTACATTAAGACTGAAAATTGTAGTTTTTAAAAGAGCTTTTTACTCTCAGCTCGGTACATTAAGACTGAAAATTGTAGTTTTTAAAAGAGCTTTTTACTCTCAGCTCGGTACATTAACGACAAATTGTAGTTTTTAAAAGAGCTTTTTACTCTCAGCTCGGTACATTAACGACAAATTGTAGTTTTTAAAAGAGCTTTTTACTCTCAGCTCGGTACATTAACGACAAATTGTAGTTTTTAAAAGAGCTTTTTACTCTCAGCTCGGTACATTAACGACAAATTGTAGTTTTTAAAAGAGCTTTTTACTCTCAGCTCGGTACATTAACGACAATATAAAAGAGCTTTTTACTCTCAGCTCGGTACATTAACGACAATATAAAAGAGCTTTTTACTCTCAGCTCGGTACATTAACGACAATATAAAAGAGCTTTTTACTCTCAGCTCGGTACATTAACGACAAATTGTAGTTTTTAAAAGAGCTTTTTACTCTCAGCTCGGTACATTAACGACAATATAAAAGAGCTTTTTACTCTCAGCTCGGTACATTAACGACAATATAAAAGAGCTTTTTACTCTCAGCTCGGTACATTAACGACAATATAAAAGAGCTTTTTACTCTCAGCTCGGTACATTAACGACAATATAAAAGAGCTTTTTACTCTCAGCTCGGTACATTAACGACAATATAAAAGAGCTTTTTACTCTCAGCTCGGTACATTAACGACAATATAAAAGAGCTTTTTACTCTCAGCTCGGTACATTAACGACAATATAAAAGAGCTTTTTACTCTCAGCTCGGTACATTAACGACAATATAAAAGAGCTTTTTACTCTCAGCTCGGTACATTAACGACAATATAAAAGAGCTTTTTACTCTCAGCTCGGTACATTAACGACAATATAAAAGAGCTTTTTACTCTCAGCTCGGTACATTAACGACAATATAAAAGAGCTTTTTACTCTCAGCTCGGTACATTAACGACAATATATTCGGAATGATAATGATGATCACGATACAGATATTAATTTACTTCCCAGTTCTGCCATAATCTCTATCATCAACTGGAATTTTAATGGAGGAAACCTTCTTGTTCTAACTATATTCAAAAATAAATAAATTTACAAATCTTGTAAAATGTGATTAGGAAGACCGTGAACCAAATACTATTGCCATTGTTTAGAATCAGCATTTCTCAATATCACCACTTCATACACTACCTGTATTAGGTTATACTTGTTCTTGAAATTGAGTGATCAACCATTTTACCGTTTAGTTCAAACAGATCACTTCAAATGTCGGTGATTTGTCTTGATATTGGGGGGTGTCCAACCCCAAAAAACCCAAAAAAACCCAATCCCAAAATGGAAATTTGAGGTAAAACAGAGTTTTTTTTGGGGGTTGGACCTGACATTTAATGACTTCAACACATAAGTGGGGGCCGGGGGGGTTCCAAACTCATTCTGCCTCATCAACATGTTAACACTGTTAACACTGTTACTACATATCATTTTCATAGCGTATATTTATTTGTGAATACATACGTTCTTACAGAATTTCAGGAACAGCCTTTCAGGTGACACATAAACTGGAATTTGGCAATCTAAAAAAAATAAAGTATTCCATTCGCCTCCTTAATTAATAAAATCTCCTTAACTAATAACCTCCTTAATTAATAAAATATCAATAAAATATTGATAATATAAACGCTTGCTCAGTGCTCCCTATAGATCTTTATGTAATACGATTGACCCAGCGACTTTGCCACAGCGTCACATCTACCTTACTAACTTAAAAACGTTACTAGCAGTGCAAGTTTGTTAGTTCTAGTAAAATGCTAGTAAAATACTAGTAAAATGCCAGTTGTAGTAAATTAAAGTTTGTAAGTTATGGTAAACATTTTATTACGTACAATCTGGAAGCTTGGTAAATATCTTGGTAAATATCTCTGTTTCCAGTACCAGGTATCTGCACTCTGCTTCATAGTCGGGAAATTTTAGATTTTCATTTAGCTAAGTAGAACTTGAGTTAAGTACGCTGTAACCAGTAGTTAAATTAAGTGAACTGTAAGTGCAGAGAGAGAGGAGGTTGAAAGAGATAGTTGATACAGCTTAATTAACTTAAAAGTTAATTAACTAATAAATTTTTAAACTAATATTTTGAACGATTCTATTTTATATTCATTTATAGCTGTACTCTGTGAAATTTGAAAAGTATTTAATGAAAAAATAGGATTTTGAAATGGTTAATAGGTTGATGTACCAGCACCACGACACCCATTTATAATAATTGTATGTTCAATTTCCTCAATAATCTACTGTAGCGTCAGGGTATTTATCAAGGGTAGGTGGGGGTTAAATTCTTACCTTGACCGTTTAGTAATAAAACCGTAAAATATAATTATGATTCTCACAAAAATATCATAATTTTTATCGAAAAACTTCGATATTTCAGGTAGCAGTCGATCATCGACTGTCGATAAAGACGCAAACCTGTGACGGCGCAATTAGTTGGTGGCACATTAAACCGCGTGATAGCTTGACTTTTCAAAAGAATGCATAAATCTTAGCGCGCTTCGAGTTTCGACATCAAAAAGTTACATTTAAGTAATTGAAGTGATTAAATCATTTCTTAAATCTATTTCCAAATCACTAACCTATTGATGACTCTTCTTTGTTCGTACTCAACTGAAAATACTTACATTAACAACTAATTAACAATTATTTAACAATCAATTAATTGATTAAGTTTAACAAACTACTTTTTTTAGGTGCTGAATGGTCAGGACCTTACAATTTTAATTGGTTAATTGCTGTCCAACCCATCCCATTATCATAGGATTTTAGTCAATATGAACTATTTAACATTCCATGACAAAAATGATATTTTATAGCTTTGATGAAGGACATTTAATAATCGGTATTCGGTAAGAGACTGGGTCAAAGCATTAAGAAAACGATGGATTACCACGTGTTAGAGTGAATAACAACACTTGACAAGCACGTGTTAATGCAACACCACGTGACTATGGCAACACCACGTGACTATGGCAACACCACGTGACTATGGCAACACCACGTGACTATGGCAACACCACGTGACTATGGCAACATCACGTGACTATGGCAACACCACGTGACTATGGCAACACCACGTGACTATGGCAACACCACGTGACTATAGCAACACCACGTGACTATAGCAACACCACGTGACTATGGCAACACCACGTGACTATGGCAACACCACGTGACTATGGCAACACCACGTGACTATGGCAACACCACGTGACTATGGCAACACCACGTGACTATGGCAACACCACGTGACTATGGCAACACCACGTGACTATGGCAACATCACGTGACTATGGCAACACCACGTGACTATGGCAACACCACGTGACTATGGCAACATCACGTGACTATGGCAACACCACGTGACTATGGCAACACCACGTGACTATGGCAACACCACGTGACTATGGCAACACCACGTGACTATAGCAACACCACGTGACTATGGCAACACCACGTGACTTACCTTTTGTAAGTTGCTGCTGTGAGTGGTCTCCGTTGTTGAGTTCAAAGACCGGGAATTATTGTGCACTAAAACCTCCACCTTTCCACCTTTACATCTGAAATAATAGCACCATTTGAAAAGCACGTGACCATGACAACGCGTTACTTGCACGTGGTAATGACATCACGTGACTAGCACTTGACAATGTAGAGTACTTAATAATCAATTATTTGTGATGGGTTAAGTTTAAGACGTTAACGGGTGCAGCTTATTGAATAACCACAATAACCTTGAAAGTCTAAACGTTTACAGACTTGGATTAACATATAGATTCTGTGATTAAATTTATTTTGTTGATTATAATGTTGTGATTGCATAATTTATTGTAAATATATTATGTAACGCGATGGAAATATTTTAAGCGGGTAATATCCTGTCCAAACCCAGGATACATAAAATGAAGACTTTGTTGTAACTTTATATGAAAAGCATTAATATAGCCTAACAGTTGGGCAGTTTATAGGCTTACAGGTTTCTTGGTTAACTAAGTTGCATATTAAAAGTCAGTCGAAATGTCGGTTTCGACTGCTTTCTGCCCAATTTGTTTTTTCTGTTTGATATTGGCAAACAGCTAGTCGTTTGTTTGCTAGAATATAATGTTATTAATCAGCGTCACGGGTGTGATCACACGATCACACTGCAAACCTCGTGACTAGCACCTGACAATGATGAGTAAATCTATAATAATCAATAATTATTGTAAAACACTGTATAATATGTAACTAATAGTTTTACCCCCCCCCCCCCCCCCCACCCGGCCCCCTCGATATAATTATTCACATTTCCATTAAATATTAACATCAATCTCCAAACCAACGGACCATCAAACACAACTACACACACACACACACACACACGATATCCAGGTAGCAATACTCCTTCATAAAACATTACGATCGTTACAAATATAAGAGCTTTACTTCTGATGTCTGACCCTCTCCGAGCTGCTCTCAGTCGAGGGAGGAACTGATTTGACCATATAAGGGATAATGAGAAAATATTTTATTCCATCCACCCGGGTGGAGGAGAGAACTGGGGTGATCTGACCACCATATATTATTACGTCATCAGGTAATTAATATGCTGGATTGAAGCACTGTAGGTTTAGGGGAACCAATTAACATATTAATTAATTAGCATGTAATGCAGACTATGGACACTGTCCAGGACGGCTACGAACCAACAGAGAACCAATGGAGAAGTCTTTAGAAAAACTGGAGCATCCATCTTAATACCATGTTTGAAGCCTCTCATCAACTGTTAGTGTTATACAAGTATACACTATATACAGTGAGGGAAGTATGAGATTTTGAACTTTATAATTTGTCATCATGTAATCTGGCGAAAGGACCACCTCGCTGGCCGGAACACTCAGCAGATTTGTTCTTCGAGAAACACCAAGTTGAGGAGATGAATGTGTCAGGGAGTATCGTCAGAATCCAGCATCTGTTGACTTCCTCCTTCTCTCCTTGACCAGCGATGAATTTGGGAAAGCAGGCGTGATGATTGTTGATTGAATGCGATACTATCTTCCACGACACTTATGAAATTACGAAGATCCAGTGTTATAACCGTTGAGGATTTTGTATTAAATTTAATCAAAACTATTTAAGTTAATGCCTATTCTCCGCAAGATCCACTCTCCATTCTTATGACGGTGTTAGTACGGTGAGAAGATACAAAATTACAGATAATATGTTTACTTCTTGACGGTAAAAAGTTAGGAATTTGAGGAATTAGACAGATAGAATTTGATCAGATCCGGAGATTTGACGTATTTTTTAACTTTTTGACGACATATTTGATGATTATTTCTAAAAATCAAAACTCTGATATTTTCTGCGCCTGCCACCTTTGCTGTAATACTAAAAGACGTATCTTGTTGAACTAGATTAGTTGGATTCATGAATTGTAAAATGTAAAGCTATCATAAAATCATACCTGTGACTTATGATTTTTTAAATTTGTAACTCTTAAAAGATCCAGAATTATAAGTGTGGCAGATATGACCACGTGACAATATAGCAACACGTAACCATGACACCGCATGACTAGCACATGACAATACAACAACACGTAACCGTGACACCGCATGACTAGCACGTGACAATACAACAACACGTAACCATGACACCGCGTAACTAACACGTGACCCAACAAATATCACATGACCTGCTAAATGGTAATTCATCACGAAGGACGGGATAGAGTGGTCCTACTTATATATTGTAACCAAAGCTAAATAGTAATGAGTGAATATTAAGTTCTAGGGTTGCGTTACTTTTTCACAAAAGACTTGTCACCTAAGACGCCATCAATATTCGACTATTTTCAGACCCACTCTCCGTCAGCAAATCACATCAGCATCTCAAAAACACATTTTCGTAAATTACCAGTCCGATGATACGTCAGCAATATTCCGCCATTCTCATACTCATATTCATCTGGAAGTTTCCAAAAAGTCAGCTCGGCAGAGTGGTTGGTTGAATTAAGGTTAAAGTTAAAGTTGGAGTTAACTTTAGGGTGTGGTTGGATTTAAGGTACTCTTACAGTAACCATAAAGCCACAACCCTTGCTTTAACCCTTACACTAACCCCAAAGTTGTTTAGTGTCTATCCTAGTTGTCTACCCTAGTTGTGTACATTAGTTATCTACCCTATTTTTCAACCCTAGTTGTCTACCCAAGTTGTGTACCCAAGTTGTGTACCCTAGTTGTCTACCCTAGTTTTCTACCCTAGTTGTCTACCCTAGTTTTCTACCTTAGTTGTCTACCCTAGTAGTCTACCCTAGTTGTCTACGCTAGTTTTCTACCCTAGTTGTCTACCCTAGTTGTCTACCCTAGTTGTCTACCCTAAGGTATGCCCTCAGTGGTTGTACTTCTCGGATACTGCCCCAGTACCCCTCCCCTTGCGTCAGCATTCTACGAGTAGTTACTGGTTATACTGTGGAAATTAAATTAACATAATCATTCCAAAAATCGCTCTAAAAACCCCTCTCTATAAAAACCCCTCTCTCTAAAAATACATCTCTCTAAAACCCCTCTAAAACCCCTCTAAACCCCTCTCAAAAGTCAAAACCCCTCTAAAGGGTACGGACGTCATAAGCTAACCCTTTAATAAATGGTTACAACTCACATCACCACATAGGGAGTAGTTCTTACTATTACCTAATTGGCCCAGTTCAGCCAATCACAACTCCCCAACCCAACCTCGTGACTGAAACTCAACCAATCAGAGATCCACTCATCACGTGACACGATATTACAGTTCTAATTCATAGAGTTCTGTGCAATAAATAAACCATTTTAATATGTTGATTTTACCGGAAGTTGTTTTTACCGGAAGTTGGATAGTCTGGTTAAGCTGTCACCCATTTGTAACCGGAAACAGGAACTTGTATTTTACATAATATTATATATCTGCCTATAATTAAAACGTTATTTGTTAGTTTTAGGAGCTATAACATATATAGGGTATGACTTCCGGAAACGAACAAAAATATTTCATACTTCCAGTTCATTCGAGTAGGGTGCGGCAGCCTGGTGACGCTTTTTTACAAATTAACTGATATCTCTATCATCATTTACTATTAAGTTTAACCACCCCATCTGCTTCAAAACCTCGCATGAGTCGTGTAATGGGCAGTTTATTGCGGGTGTCATGTGCTGATAGGGTATTTGACAGAGCTGACTAGCTAGCAGCGCAGTATTGGGAATCTACTCAGTTAATGATCCTACACCAGCTGACAGGGTGGATCCTACGTACTGATCCTACAGCAGCTGACAGGGTGGATCCTACGTACTGATCCTACACCAGCTGACAGGGTGGATCCTACGTACTGATCCTACAGCAGCTGACAGGGTGGATCCTACGTACTGATCCTACAGCAGCTGACAGGGTGGATCCTACGTACTGATCCTGCACCAGCTGACAGGGTGGATCCTACGTACTGATCCTACACCAGCTGACAGGGTGGATCCTACGTGCTGATCCTACAGCAGCTGGACAGGGTGGATCCTACGTGCTGATCCTGCAGCAGCTGACGGGCTGGATCCTACGTACTGATCCTACAGCAGCTGACAGGGTGGATCCTACGTACTGATCCTGCAGCAGCTGACAGGGTGGATCCTACGTACTGATCCTACACCAGCTGACAGGGTGGATCCTACGTACTGATCCTACACCAGCTGACAGGGTGGATCCTACGTACTGATCCTACAGCAGCTGACAGGGTGGATCCTACGTACTGATCCTGCAGCAGCTGACAGGGTGGATCCTACGTACTGATCCTACAGCAGCTGACAGGGTGGATCCTACGTGCTGATCCTGCAGCAGCTGACAGGGTGGATCCTACGTACTGATCCTGCACCAGCTGACAGGGTGGATCCTACGTACTGATCCTACACCAGCTGACAGGGTGGATCCTACGTACTGATCCTACACCAGCTAACAGGGTGGATCCTACGTACTGATCCTACAGCAGCTGACAGGGTGGATCCTACGTACTGATCCTGCAGCAGCTGACAGGGTGGATCCTACGTACTGATCCTGCACCAGCTGACAGGGTGGATCCTACGTACTGATCCTACACCAGCTGACAGGGTGGATCCTACGTGCTGATCCTACAGCAGCTGACAGGGTGGATCCTACGTACTGATCCTACACCAGCTGACAGGGTGGATCCTACGTACTGATCCTGCAGCAGCTGACAGGGTGGATCCTACGTACTGATCCTACACCAGCTGACAGGGTGGATCCTACGTACTGATCCTACACCAGCTGACAGGGTGGATCCTACGTACTGATCCTACAGCAGCTGACAGGGTGGATCCTACGTACTGATCCTGCAGCAGCTGACAGGGTGGATCCTACGTACTGATCCTACAGCAGCTGACAGGGTGGATCCTACGTGCTGATCCTGCAGCAGCTGACAGGGTGGATCCTACGTACTGATCCTGCACCAGCTGACAGGGTGGATCCTACGTACTGATCCTACACCAGCTGACAGGGTGGATCCTACGTACTGATCCTACACCAGCTGACAGGGTGGATCCTA